AGATGTAGTCACATGTGTCATGTATGTCACTCTCCTATTGGTAGAGAAGTGACACATGATGATTTACATGAGAGACATGTTGGAATCATTCAATTCCAATAGGGGAGCACAAGGCTTATGGCATGCATAAAGAAAATATTATATATAGAGGGCAGCACTGGACAAGAATAGCTAATCTCATGAGTGGAAGAAGTACCTATCAGAAATACATTTTTAGAATAGGAAAATTATAACTTTGCCAAATATTTGTATAATTTAGCTGTTGATTCAAGTTATTCTTTGATAGCTGATACTTTTCATTACAGCAAGAAATTTCCAGGAACTTAATGTCATCTGCAAACTTCAAATATTGTGCCATTATTGATATCATTTATGTAAATATAAATATGAAAAAGCAAAGAGTAAAGAACTGACCTCACAAGTACTCTACTAGTTAAAAGGGCCCAGTTGAATGTTATCAATTACTGAGCCTGATAATTAATTAATTATTAAATTCCTCTAATCATTCAGCTCTACTTATTCAGGTAACATCTTGAAGTAGTGACCTCTTTCTTGTTTCATTGGAAATGACCAGTCATGTGGTTAGTATTAGTTACTCTGTATAAGTCTGTTGTTAATGATTTAAGTAAGTAACATGAGATTTATTCAGTATGGAACAGGAGATTCAGAAATGATACCTCTACACCATAAAGAACTATTACCTCACACATACTGTCGTCTAACTTCCAATGCTTACTACAAGTCTTGAACATTATCCCATCCATACACATATCAACATGTATTGAACCAGCTTCTGATGTAATCATCATTAGACTACAGCCTTCCACCATTAGGAGGATGACACATTCTCCATGTGCAATAATCAACATGAGGACTAACATTTAAACACAGGATCATTCTTGATGAGACAAACTAAATGCGCCAGAAGTAGGCAGGAAAGGTGAAAAGTGGTGCAATGAGTTGAGTATTTATCTGAAGTACATTTCCAAAACATACTTACCTCTGCTGCTACTTCACCAGGGTTTCAATCTTCACTCATCTGAGCTTGATCTCATTTTTTTTCTTGCATGCTTCAATCTTTTATACCTCACTCAATTGCCCTTGGTGATATACTCTCCACCTACGTCAATGCACCCCCTATCCTGGTACTGCATATAAGCACCTCATTCAGATAATCTTTATCACTTTTTAGCATTTAGACACAAGTTTCTCTACACAACTACTGTGATAATTGACGTACTTGGTTGCAATTTTTGCATAAACTAGTGGCTTTCAATATAAATTATATTTAATAATTATTATTTAAAAAAATTTACACCCCATTTTTAGGCTTGAATTCACAGGTTAATTAGCCCTCTTGTATTCCACCTCTGTTATTTAACATCTCTCAAAGGTAGAGGGGGATCACTCTCAGTTGAAGCTCCCCATGATCTGATTTATTGTGAGATGGAGACGTATATTCGGTCTGGGGGCGTCTCTCCAGGGGGTTCTGAGTCTATGTTTGTTGATGATCCAGGACAGTCTGGAGAGAATTTGGACTTTCTTTTTTTGGTGCATTCGTTTACTAGTTGGGCTTCTTGAAAGGCCAATTTGGATCATCTACCTCCTGCTCCATTTTTTTTCAGTTAGTCAGTTGGGTTTATCAAGTTTTGGGGCTTTCTCCAGTTTCCTTTGAATCTACTCCTTCCTTGATGGCTGAAAGGTCTGAGAGTGAATACTTAGTTTTCCTCCTTCACCTGATAATGCTGTTCATGGTGGGAGATTTGCTGCTTAATTACGTGATGGAATAGCTCTGCCTTCTCTCCCACGTTTGTCTGAACAGCTTACTTAGGCTTACCACCGCCAGGAGGATGTATATTTAGATTCCCAAAGACTTGATCCTCTTTTTTATATGTGAGGTTCCAGACTGGACCCTGTGATCACTTTGAACAGATCACAATTTTTCAGATTCTTTCACTACTGTCCTGAGATATTTATATTCTTTCCAAATTTTGTTGGAAGTTTATCAGTGTTTTCCACATCAATTTGTGGACGAGTTAGGTCTTTTGCTGACTACTAACTTGGTATATTTGTTGGCTTCTATACTTTCTTTGGTTTTCTGGCTTGTATGTTGTTGGGATTTATTGGGTAGAGATTATCTTGTTGGAGGGAGTTTGTCTACCTGCTTTTGCTCTCTATGAGTTACGTAAGGTTTCTTTTTTTCATCTCTTGATGTTTGTGGGCATCCAGAGCACTGTTTCTCAGAACTCCCCAATGTACATTACCCCCCAGATTCTGCTAGTCCAGCTAGGGAGTACTTACCACACCCAGTTTCCAGTCACTGGGGTTGTGGACAGATGTTTTTCCTCCAGAGTGTTCGAGTGATTTTCTCCAATCTTTGAGAAGAGGGCAAAGTTTGTGGGAGCCTTCTACCCAGGTCACTGGATGTTTTTCTCAGATGTCAGTAGGAGCACCAGCCTATGCGGGAGCCTACTCATAATGCCGGTTCAGATATGAAGCTAAGCTATCCAGTTGGGGTGTGCATGTCCCTTACTTCTTTTTGATAAATATTGGTTTAGTATATTGTTCATGGAAAGAGGTCCACTATCTACCCGTAATTCCGATTTCAGAGTGGACCCATCCTGGGCACAGTGTTCCATATCCTCTCCATAATTCTGGGGGCAAGTGAAAGGCTCCTTGCCCACTCAGACTGGATGAGTTCTTTTCCTTTGGTTGAGTAAGCCACACAAAATCCCATCAGTCTGAGCCTGGGGTATTGCCTTTCTGACTTCTTCAAGTGGAGGAAAACGTTTGTCTGCTTCAGTGTTTCTTACTTTCTCATCGTGATTTGGGTGGTTCAGAATGCATCACTCTATGGCTACAGATTGGGATCCAGTAAAAAGTATATCTATATATAACATTGCGGTCCAATTACCCTAGCTACCAACATGGATTTTAGGGACCAAGACCCCCTAATTCCAACCCCAAGTTGTGAAACCTCGGCTATCTTGTTGGGGCTGGCCTATAGTGATGATTACTCGTGTACTATTCTATCCTTGATACAGGATCTAAGTTCAGGGTGAAGAGCATGCCTGTTGTGGATGTAGTACAGTTCCCCTACTTGGGTACCACTCTTATCTTGGTACACCCCTGATATATGCAGATGTTTTCTGTATAGATAATGCCCTCACCAGCTCCATTCACCTTCTCAGTGTGGGATTCTAGCTATAATTGTCAGCGAAGGTAATTATGTTTTGGAAGTTAACATTTTCCTAAATTTAAAATGCATTTCCAATAATACTTACCTCTGCTGACATTCTCCCACCCTTCCTTCCCACTAAGAGCTGGTGTTAGTGACCGGATTGGTGTAAGTCAGGAAAGTGATAAGATTATGTGAATGAGGTGCTTATATACAGTATGAGGATAGAGGGTGCATTGACATAGGTGGAGAGTATATCGCCAAGGGCAATTGAGTGAGGTGTAAAAGACTGGAGCAAGCGAGAAAAAAATTAGACCAATGCTGAGATGGGCAAAACTGAAACACTGGCAGTTGAGTAACAACTATAAGTGTCCATGGAGGTAAATATTCTTGGAAATATATTTTCAATTTAGGAAAATGTTAACTTTCATGTAAAGAAAATGCTAACTTCAGAAACATTACATGTCTGCACTACAAAGAGCTAGAATCTCACATTAAACACAGTGGAGGGACCAGTGTTGAGAAATTGTAAAGATGAGCTCCTTTCAGAAAACATTGTCAGAAAGGGAAAGCCCATAGAGTGTGGCAGTCTTAGTCTTGGTTTCTTCTGTGGCATTTTTAACTATTTGTCTTGGTACTCAGTTATTTGTGGTATATTTTTGGGTGTTCCAGAGTCTTTGCCAGTGTGGTAAACTTTGTGAAATGTGGATTGTATGTGATGTGGTCATTCTCTTTATAGTGCGTATATGTTGGACAGTCTTTATGGAAAATTCTTGAGATCACATATTATTATTATTTTTAGTTCTTTATGTAATGTCAATATACATGAAAGATGCACAGTATTTGGTTCCTTTTGATATAATTTTAGTTATTACTAGTAGAAATGGTAAACCACAATTATAGTGTTACTATGAAATGAACCTTTATGTTGTGATAAGTAGAAACCCAAACAAATCGTTCCTGTTGATTCTGTGATTACTTTAGAAAGACCTTGCATGTATGTATGTGCATGTGAGAAAATTCAGGGTAAAAACATAAGGAATAAGGTGCTAAAATCAAGTAAATGGGCAGAGTTATAAATCCTTAATTATGCAGTTATATTTGTGTTCTTTAATTTTTGTGTTATGTAAGTGGCATTTTGTACATTTAATAAATATCAATAATTATAAAGGGGTTAGTTGATTATAAATGATTTAAAAACTTTTAGGTGATTCTCATGTTATTTGCTAGAGATATTCTAGTACTAAGTACTTTGTTCAACTGCAAAACTTGTAATAACATAACATATCTTGGTTCTACCTGTAAGTTATTGCGGTTATTATGATACAGCTAATTGTAATTGATACTGAACACAAGAATTCTTGTAGTGCGTGGGTAAGAATAAAGTGTGAATAATTTTCACAAAATTGCAAGCTGTACCTTGTAAATTTTGTCATCTTTAGCTAGATGTATGAATAAAATATAACTGGATAGGCTATAAAATTAAGTTATCAAGTATTTAACGAAATATATTACTTGTGTTAAATTTTACTTGCAAATATATTTTAAATAATTAATACTCGGAACTGTTGGTATTTGGTGATACTCCATAACTGTAGAGTTGAGGAAAACAAAAACACTTCTACATTTCATTTATTTCTACAATAGTTTTGCTCATAAAGGCTGTACCTAATGACACATACCTACATTTTATTTATTACATGCTAGTAATAAATTAAAGTTTGTGAAAGGTTTGATTGTTTCCGTCAATTCTATATGAGATTTTAATGTTGATAATGTATTTGTTCATTGAATGAAAATTGAACTTTTATTACATTTATAGAGTCATAGTTATCAGAACATTACAAGATCTCTGAGTACAGGTTCTATTCTAAAGTATCCAGTTGTGGTAAGTATTAATTGTCTATTTCTTCTTCTTATTTTTTTCTTAGGAAAAGATGTGTAATAGAAACTTTGGTTACATATTCAATCAGGGCTGTACCAACTAATTGAGTATTAGATTTGAAAATTTTAATTAATGATTATTAAGATATTTGATTAACAGTTGAAATGTTGTGTACAGAAATCAAAAATTTTACAACACTATTGTTGCTTAATCTTTTCAATGATTAAAGCTGTTACAAAAAAAACATAATAATTATAAGTTAATACTGCAGCAGCATTGACCATGCCAAGAGATCTAAATTGTCTTTTGTTTGAAACTATTTTTCTTACCCTTCTGACAAGGGGTTCCTAAAATACACCATGTGTAAAATGAAGCAAAAGTACTGTAACAGCACTTCTTCTCTGATGGAGCACATTAAAAAAAAGACACTACAGCTCTAGCTCTGATAGGTAAGCAAAACACACCAACAATTATCAGTGAATGCTACAATAACACTAATTCTTAAATAAAAGTTTTGTTTCAGTATCACTCCAAGAAATAATGATCTCTAAAAATAAACGAGCTGAAATGAACTTTCTTTTTTTTCAAATCTCATCCAGCATTTAAAACTGCTTGCTATCCTAAACATATCTAAAAAAAACATAAATCTAATAAAATAGTTAGCACACAGGATCACACACAAACAGGGCATTGAATTCCGATACAGTACATTTCCTCCACTCATATAAATAGCTATTCTTGTTCAGTGCTGCCCTCTATATGCCTTGATGCTTCCACCCATCTGGAATTGACTATTCCAATGCATGTCGCATTCAAATCATCATGCGACAACCCTCCACTAATAAGAGTGCGACATATTCTCTTGACATGTGACTCCCTCTATTCAATTCTACCAAACTATCACTTCTTGTTTGGCTGTACTCATGTTGTAATGTTTAGTTTGTGCTCTCTCTAATTTTTATTGTAATTTTCCATATCTTTGTATTAATTTCTCTCACCAGTACAATATTATATTATTATTATACAATAATGATATTTGTAACTTGTTGAGCTATTCTAACGCGGAATTATTTTATATTTCTACCCAAACTTATTATTTCATTACAAAAACTTTGTATTTGTTTCCGCCAACACAGTTGTGTTTGATTATTCATTTTGCATTATGAATTGTACATTACCACTTCGGAGTTTATATGTTCTATTAGCACATTTACACAGGCGTCAGGTCGTGGTACTCTGCAGGTAGATTTTTGGCTTTACTTCGTCAGGAGATTATCTAATGAACTGACCTTCATCAAGACTTTTTGGACTGACACATTTTGACATTCAGTCTACTGACTTTGGAAAGATAAGCCATTATGTTATTATGGTTTTTGAATAATTTTAATTTTGATATTACTATCTGTAGATCTCTGAGTTCTGTAACACAAGTTTCGTTAGATTGGTTGATACTCATAGTCCAGCACAGGTTAGAAATTAGCCTTAGTTGTATTCTTTCTCCTATACCACTGATACTAGGGGGTCTTTTATTTTAGGATTACCTGTAATTCATCTTACTGATATATCAATCATTCATTTAACTATATTGTTTTTCTTCCATACATCACATTTCATACATAGGTTATTGTTAATATACATTTATTTTAATTTTATAGATTACAGTTTATTTAATTTTTGTTTATTATTATCCTTATTTTTGGTTAAGATTTTTATTTTAGAGCTTAGTGATATCCTTATCCTGCACTGTTCAGTTAGACATAACACATGACTGTTATTTTTGGTTTACCTGTAGTTCTACTTGCAGATTAATCACTAAGTTAAATATCTTGTTGCCTTAGGCTTCACAAATATCTGTTAATTTTGATTTACCTGTGGTTACACTTCTGGATTACTCATTAATTCGATTAAATATTTTGTTGTTCATCAACCCATAACATGTATTACATATGTTTCTTTCACTACCAAATTTCTTACCATTAGTTTAATTTAATTTATAATTTATACCCTTAATTCTGTTTGTGTGGTCCCCTGGGGACTGGTGTTCACTCTGCCTGCTCTCAGTATTACTCGCCTTCCTTTCGACTTTTCTGTTTCTTGCCATCTCTTCCACATTTATTTTTGTTTGGTTCCAGACGACCTTGTCGGTACAGTAAATGCTTTGGGTTGCTTCATTATTTTAAAGGTTTTTTTTTCCATTGAATCAATTTCCCACAATTTCCTTCCCTTACTCCACTGCTTTGTCTGTTACTTTTTTTTCCCCTTCCTTCCTGACCCATTGGGTTTGGACTGTGATTTGATTGGCTTTTTATTCCTTATATCCTTCTTCCTGTCATTACTTCCTGGTGTCTTCACTCCAATAATTCTGCACCTTACATTTTCCCTACATACTAAACCTGTCATCCGTTGGAGGTACTCTGGTCTCATGAACTTGAGGTGAAGACAGCATTCCTACCTCCACATGGATGTCGGGTCCTGGTGGCCTGAGTTTTGGATTGTAGTTGACTTGTCAGTGGTATGATCTTCATCCAACCCCCTTTTATGATGTGGATGTTTGTTCCCAGTGGCCTGGGTTTTGGATGTAATTGACTTGCTGTGTATGGTCTGTTGCACCCTAGCCACTCTACACATCCTTTTACTGTCACCCACATTTATGTATTATGGGATTGAAATTCATGTTTAGTGTGGTTCAGATCACTATCCAACCATAATTCTCTCCGTATTGGATGTGCTATTCCCTGTTTCCACCCATATCTGTGATACCTTTTTCCACGCTTGGAGAAGAGTATATCTGCTACAGAAGTGGTGTGGTCTCCCACGTACGATCTTCGACTCCAAAGATCGCTTTGGAAGAGTCCTTTGTAATGCTTTTTAGGGATGCTTCTTTCTTTCTCTCACACCGGTCCCTCCACCTGTTCAATGTGGGATCCTAGTTATTTATGTGAGTGGAGGTAATGTACCGTATCAGAGGTTATAATTTTCTTATACTGAAAATGTATTTCCGATAGGTGCTTACCTCCTCTCATCCTTTCTCCCCACTGAAAACTTGAAGTGATAGTTCAGTAGAATTGAATAGGAGGAGTCACATGCATCAAGAGAGTATGTCACACTTTTATTGGTGGAGAGTTGTTGCATGATGATTTGTATGTGAAATGCATTGGAATAGTCAATTCCAGATGGATGGGAGTGTCAAAGCTTGTTGCATGCACAACATTTTTTTTTTCATATAGAGGGCAGCATTGAACGAGAACAGCTATTTATGTGAATGGAGGTAGGTACCTATCGGAAATACATTCAGTATAGGAAAATTATAACTTCCCAAAAAAGGCCCCAAACTCGAGCAATTTTGAATAGTTGGCTATTCTTATTTTCCTGAAAAAGAATAGTTAACTATTCGAAAGCACTCAAGTTTGGGGTCTTTTTTTTTTAAATAACAACAAAGATTGATATAATGAAATATAATTACCCTATATACAGTATTTCCAGGCTAATGGCTTCCACTCTTGGGTCAATCTAACTTATTAATACAGACATCCAGAAATAAAATGATTGTATAATCCTTTTTAAACTTGATTTCACATAAGAATACAGATAAAAAGATGAAGTGTATTATAAATAATGTAAATAGATAAAGTGTATCAACTTAAGTTAAATGACCAAGCAAAAAGTTGTTCCAAAAGTATTTAAGTCTGTTTTATTATCATTAAATTTCCATTCTGTGATTACACATCATTTTCTGTTGAAATATTAAAGTTTTATAATGTTTTTTTTATATTTAATGTCACCATTATTTGTTTATTTAATGTTAAAAACATCTTTAAACTGAAATAGCTCTTGTACACAGAAATAGGTTTTCAGTATTACTGTATGGTGTATATGGATATTATTAAAGACTTTTGAAGGATGTATAAGCTTGTGTTAGAATTTTTTTTTCTATCTAGGTTTTTCCTGAAAACATTTCTTGATAAGCAAAAGAGCCATTTCAAAAAGATATACTTATTCTGCTCTTCTTGGTTGTTTTTATTACATTTCATAACCTCTGCTGCTGTAGGCAGTAAGAGAAGCACTATAAAAAAGGAAGTTAATAAAGCATAAATTATGTTTACATGACATGATTTAGTGGACTAGCTTTATTTTTTATAGTGGCCCTGGCTCAGCACCAAAGACAGAGACTAATCTGTACAGAAGTGATACATATTTATCAAAATAGCCAATATGAAAATGGGCAGGGGATGACCATAGAAATGTATAGGCAAAGGTGACTTTTCCCCACAAATAATGGCACGAGTTAGGCATAATTTGTCACTGTGGTTTTAATTTCAGATGTTAAGATAAAACTGATAAATTGCATGAGAAATTTCATTTGACTTTTTAGAGTGATATTTGAAAATTGTATAAAAGCCTATCAAGAAGTTTTTTAAATTAGTTAATAAAATACCATTATATAACTTCCCGGGTCATTTATTTTAATTTCCTGTCAAATGTGCAAAACACTTCCCACAGACTATATATATTATACTGATTTCATTCATTTAAGTCTCATGCTCATTCCTCTTTTGACTGCACCGTTTTTTTTTCACACCCAAGGTGTTTTTGATTAGATATTGTGACTTTTTGTCAAATACAATCCGAACAGATCACAGCAAGTAATAAAGTGACACTTGATAATAACCAACATTAGCTTTAGGATTGCAACCTTATTATTTGAAACTGACCTATACTTTACAGAATCATTCAGATTAGTTTTTCTAATGGTAGTTTTTCTTCTCTAAAACAGTGTTACTGCATGCTCTTGGTACAACTGTATCAAGCATCATTATTTATGCTAATTGCCTAAGCTAATATCACATGATGTTAAACACTCTTTAATTAGGAAGATTTCATAAAATGTAGCAAATTTGTGCTTAAATATGAATAATAACTGTTCTTCTGATTCTCTTGAAAACTTGAGCTAGAAATTGATAATCTAGTTTGCGTGGCCTAACCAATACTTATGTATCTGCACATTTTGATGCTCTAAATCATTTGTCTTTAATATGAATGACCAAAACTATAAATGGTCCACTTTTGCTCTGTAGTAAAGGTTTTAGACTGATAGGTTATGTGACTTTTTGCATAGGTATGCACAAAAATTTTGGTCGAAATTGAGTGGTTTTTGTTGAATAACTTTACACATGTGGCTTATATTTAGACCAAATTTGACACCTAATTGTAGGTTTTAAAGATTTATCAGTGAACCAAATTTGAAAAAAATTCATAAAAGGTAAGTATTTTTCTATCAAATATATATATCTGTACTTTTGGTGCAAAGAAAAAAAAAAGATCTTCAATCAAAATTGAAGTTTTATGTCTCGTGTATTTTGTAAGGGTCCAGTGGAGTACATCCACTGAAAATATGTGGTAGTTTGGATTACCACAGTTTGAGCTACAGAAAGTGGAAAATCGCTAAACTATCACTTCTGTCTTGATTGATCATGACGACTATTTAATTCAATGCATTAACTTGTTTGTTAATTTGCCCAATCCTGATAAAAGTCAATACATAAGACAAGTATGGGATGGATTTTAGATTTTTATGGTGTGAATTAAAAGCAGTTTATTTCTGTATCCTATCAAGTTGCAAAGTGTTGTATATGTATATACTTATATATTATTATTATTTATATAGAATTGGGCATATAAAATTTTATTTTCATTCTTTTTATTATCAAGATGATTTATTACTTGCACTATTTACTTTTAGTTTTTTTAAATTTCACTAGCAGGATGTTGTATTTTTAGCCATTCATTAATACAGTAGTTTGTTTCACCATTTATTGAGTGGATAGCTAATTAAATACATGTAACTCTGATGTACACCTAAGAATATTTAATAATCATTGTGAAATGACCAAAAGAAAAGGAATATCTATTTCAGTTGGTATCAAATCTGCATGTGATTATTGTAGTTTAATATATACACTAATATTATTTATATTTATGTAGCCATAAATACTATTCATGAGAAAAAATGTTTCTTTGATCTTTTCATGACTTATACGTGTATTTCATCGGATTTAAAATTATCAGCAAGAGGTAAGTATACACAGTGGCAAAGATACATTAATAAATTGTTTTGTGTGTGTGTGCATTTTTATTTTTGTAATCCTCCAAGATTTTATCTAATTATTTACTGGAGCATGTAGTATTTGTCTAGTGTGTGTATGTGTGTAGTGGTCTAAATAATAGTGAATAATATGATATGCCTTAACAAGAGAAAATGGCTCAACTTTTTAAAATTTTAGGTTTTTATATGTATGATAAATAACTGTAAATTTTGTAGATGCCTTTTATATATCTAGTAGTTTCATTTTGTTATGATAAAATTTAAATGAATTATGAAAAGTTTCAGGGAGCATATTTTCATATTGTAATTCTTGTAACTTAAAACAATCTCAAATACTTATAATGACATTGGCTTCATGAACATTAAATGCATCAGTTTAACTTCCAACTAACAAGTACTTTGTTTCCTTAATAACTTGAATATAGTTTTGTTTGTGAAATAATAATAATACACAAATGTAAAAGAAGATGCTTTGATCTTTTTTGCTAAATAATGGGTATTTTTTAGATTTTTCAGGCATGTTATTAAATATGTTGCATTTGAGTTTCAACTAATCCTGTTTAGAATATTTTTACATCTGAATTACCAATTTTATTTACATCTAGAAGAATAACATGTAAAAATACAACTAAATGAATTTTTGGTAATCCTCTTATATGCAAACTTTTAATTTTCAATTTTTTAATGCTTAATATGTAAAAAATAACAGGTTTTCTATTACTTTTCTTTATGTGTGTGATCTAATATTTTATGATGTTCCAAGTGGTTAAGGCCTGACACATAATCAGATACAATCAAGAGAAATCTGCATAAACATTACTCTCATATCGTAAATGCTGAAATTGTAATAGCTTTTTCACTTTATCTCATGTCCTTCTTGAACATTCTCTATGTGGCTTAAAATTATTCTGTTAGTCAACAAACCATTTGCCGACTTTATCATAAAACATTTTAAATGTAAATTACAGTATATATATATAAATGGAACAATTAGTTATTTTGGTCAGATATCAGATTTAGTATATCCGATAGGATTTGGATATTTTGGATCAAATAGTAGATATAATCGTACATAATCAAAATGTTCCACAGGCCTCAACCACTTCATTATAATGTAGTATTAAACCAGTTATTTCTTCATTGTAATAAGGATATACATGGAACAATTCCATACAAGTGAGTGGTTATTGCAGGCTCTTTAAGGGAATTCAGTACCTGGTGAATGAGATGGAGCTTTACACCTCTGATCCCATTTCTGAAACTGTTGTTTGGATTGCTCTTGGCATTCCTGTCACTGCCACTACTGTGACCACCTGTGGAATAGTGGCAACACAACAGTGGGTGTGAGGTTTATTACACGTACCAGGACTTCCACTTTTTAATACCATGGAGAATGCTACTATGTTTTGAAGTTAGTAGAAAGCACCAGTAGGCTAGATGACACAATACCTATTATATGTAATGCACATGAAAATAGTATCATGTCTGCATAACATTTTGAGATAATTCATTGGTGGAATTACTATCTGATTATCCAGTTTATCCTAAAATTAATGTGTGATCTGATAGATTTCATCAGACAGCGCAATATCCAATCAGTTCCGATCGATGATTGGATATTTGTCCTATCTCTAGATCCTACTGTAGGTTTGTGTATTCTCTTTATTGCACAACTTAAGTTGCTAAATACCTTCAGCTTAAAATGTCAAAGAGAAGTGCAGAAGCATTCCACCACATGCTATAAAAGTGAAGGAAAGAAGAATGTATGATAATGTATCAAACAAACTGCTATATACTGTGGCAACAAGGCCTTTCACCAAGTACCAAGGCTCTTCAGGCTGGCTGGGATATGACAAACATAGTAATGGTTGACATGCTACTCATATTAGTAAATTGTTTGACAGCAACTGTTATGATGTGAACTGGACAAAGTTAGTGAAATGTAATTCTTCATCAATTTCATTTTTGTTATAACAAATCAGAATTTTTTAACACCATATATTAATTATTATTTTCTTGAATTAACTTGTTCATTAGTCAAAAGAGGTGGAGAACCAGTAAGCTAGTCTTTTTAATGGTTATGTGACATAATGTCCATATCAGTAGTGTATATATCATATTCATCTGTTATGGATATTGTGCTCTTGAATACAAAATTGATTCAGTTGTGCATTAATGAAGTTTAACTTTATTATCACCAGTAAACTAAATTGACAAAAAAAAGTATTTGCATATTTTCATGCATTGCATTTCTTACCTCATAAATCTTGGTGAAAAAAACCATGTAAATGTTATCATTAGTAAAATGAAATACCAAAAACTAAAAGCTCAAGTAGAATTATAATGGTTTTGAGAAGTCCATAAAACAAAAACGCTCTTTCATTTTATACTGTACTTCCATTGCGTTGTGTATATATACAAACATACACATATAGTTTAAGGTTTGATTTGTTCGTGGCTAGAAACTAACATCCAGAAGTTGATGATAAGACAGTGCTTTCAGGCCTTTCTGTAATTGAAAAATAATTTAATGCAATATACAAACTTTCATGAGCATACTCAGCTTTTGTTATCTATTTATGTTAATTTGTTTCTCTTGGTTTTCAACTTTTTTTAGGACAATGAGGATATTGCTTTTTATATTTACCTTAATTATTGGAGTAAAGAGTTATCAAAAATATAGTTCAGGAATTAGAATTATATATTTTTATGGAGAAAATATTCAATATATAACTATCAATAATTAATAACTTTTAAGATATGGTATGGTTAGGTATTACAGTACATTGCAACAGTACATGCAGACTGAAACAAACAGTTAAGAGTATCTAAACTTTGCTAATGTATGTCACTAGAAGAATTGCCTACAAACTATGGAACTTGAGTAGATAAAATATAAAAGAAAACCCACTGCTAGATGATGTTAATCCAACACTGGTATATATTTTTTTCTGTTGTAAAAATATTCTGATTCTTAGCTTTTGTGCAACCCTTCCATAAAAATATATTCTTTTTAGCATCATATTATAACCATGTCTTGAATCATACACCATAAATGTCGTGGTTGTTTTCAAAGGAGTTTTTTATGACAGCTTTTGTTGGTTCAGTTTTAGTTACTTGTGTTGAATACCTTGTTGTGATAAATGCTAATTAACCCTATTGTTATGGGTAGCTAGGGGTCAGAGGACATGTCATTACGTTTGTAGACTTACATTCAAAATTTTATTGAACAATTATTTTATGAATGTATGCCAATAAACTTGTTATCAAATGTAGATTTTAATTCAAATTTTATTATTATACATAAGTTAATTTCTTAATATCAAAGTAAATAATAAACAAACAAGCTGAATATCGATTTTTGTGTGTCATACTGGTGCATCATCTTCTGGGTTTGGTCAGATTGCGTTTTATGATGCCCACAATACAATGTCTATCATTTTATATGAATTAAAAACTCAAATTTTTGATATTGGCAAGCTAGAATATAAAATAAGAACCTCCTACTTTTTTTATTTGCTAAGATATCATAATATTTATCAAAGCCACCATATTGACTCAGCTTTTTTTTTTATACCTAGAAGTTTATAACCACTCGAAAGCTCTACATTTCTCCTACGTAATTCTGTATTTCTAAATTATTTAAAAGAAAAAAGCTCTTGTTGGAGAATTTGAAGAATTATGATCAGTGCTATTTTCAAACAGAAATTAGATTATTTTAGACCCAAATACAGCATAGTTAGGAAGCCTGGTAAATTACAATAGATATTTGTGGCATCAGTAGAGTCATTTATAATTTTTTCATATTCAAGAATGCATATATAAAGTCTACAAAAATTAGTTTTTTCTACATCAACATGTGAATTTGGACATGGCTTATGACGAGGGTTATAAAGTACAACTCATGAGTGCAAAAAAAGAACTTCAAAACATTGTAAGTAGTGGAGAGCATTGTTTTCTGAATATTTCTTTATTTACTGTTCTATGTCTTAAGAAAAATAACTGAAATTTAAATACTTATTTGTAAATAGTAATAATAATAATAATATATATATATATATATATATATACACACACACACACACACACACACACACACTACACGTTATTGTATGGTACCCAAACCTCACTGTACCTTACAAAATATTGGAAACTATGCATTTATTGATTACTGTGTAAGCATGATAAAATAGGAAATAGGATGTTCCTAAGCACTTTCACACTTGTATTACCACTAAATCCCGACCATTCAAGTTTATTAGATCACATACAACTTTGTACAGAGCCATATCAGAAATATTTAGACAATTCTTGTTGCAGCTACTGTACTGCATACATAAGCCAATAAATCCTACCCTACTGTGTTTTCAGAGCCAGGATTTGATTAAACTTGTGTGCTTATCAACCAACATTCAAATACCTGACAATTTTATTATATTGGCCCAGACTTTCTAAAAAGCTCTAGCATAAGCATTTTATAATACTTTAGACAGTTCTCGTTGTAACCATTATACTGTCAACTGTGTTTTCAAAGCAGGGAAAGTTCTGGGAATTGTGCTGCAAAAGCTTATTTGATAGTGATGGTGTCAAAGAACATGCATTGAAAATACACTTGGAATTATGAACTTTTTACTATATGTAATCTCATTCATTATCAATATGTTTTATGAAAATTTGACTGCATTACATACAAATGAAGTTTATTAGTATAACTGTAAGAATGGGCTACAGGTAATAAATCCAGCAATAACCAGTTAGGATATGTGCATGGAGTGAGGTGTGTATGAACTAACAAGAATAGTGTTTTTATTTGAATTGGTTAGTTTTCATAACACATCTACTTTACTTAACAGCAAGTACTAGTTTCTTTGAATGGGCTACAGATTATAAATCCAGCAATAACCAGTTAGACTATGTGCATGGAGTGAGGTGTGTATGAACTAACAAGAATAGTGTTTTTATTTGAATTAGTTAGTTTTCATAACACGTCTACTTTACTTACCAGCAAGAACCAGTTTCTCGTCCTGAAGGACGCTTGAAATGTACTCTAATACCTGGAGATGGTGTAGGCCCAGAACTATGTACTTCGGTAAAAGAAGTGTTTGAGGCTCTTAGTGTTCCTGTGGATTTTGATGAACTATTTCTCAGGTAAATTTCTGTACTTAAACTTAGTACAAATTGGTGTGACCAATTATCTCTCATTCTTTACCTCTAATATAAAGGTACTTTTTTGTACAAGCAAGCTATTGAATCGCTAATGAATAACACCATTTTTTTATGTTTTGTCAGGAGTAATGTTGAAAAAGAAAAGTTTTATTTTTTGAGAAGAAAATATTTTTACCAAAAACATTTTTGGGGACTTTTTCAATAATGTGCATTAATTCATGAAAACAATGCTTTTTGTTTTGTTGAGGCCATTCTAAATTATAAATCCAGTTACTGCTGATGATGGTGGTTATTTTGTTAACACAATTGTTTGTGTTCTGTTTTAGGCCCAATTGTAGGTACATATATTTTTTACTTGCACCAGTTTCAGCTTTATTCATGGTTTGATGACATCACACCAAGCAATACAAAATACAAAGTTTGAATAAAATATTTTATTTTGTCCATCTTAAACTTTATAAATTGTAGTTAACTTTGGTAAAACGGTAAGCGAAACAACAATTGTGCAATAATTGTTTAAGTGCAAAACTGCTTAAGCATTATGTGCTTAATAAAAATATTAGGTATAAATTCACATTCCACGAAAATGAGCTTCAGTTATTGATATATTTACTATATTTGACAACTTTCTGTAGAATAAGTTAGAAGTAAGTTAGATATACAGTAACCCCAAGCACACATGACTGAACTTGCAAACATTGTGATTGTGAATTTGTGCACAAAAAGCATACCCTGCATTCTGTTTCTATTAACCAAATGTGCACTGGATTCATCCGTTGGATTTATCCTGTATTGGAGAAGAAATGTTGATTATAATTCTGAATTTACTACATGTATCTACACAAAATGTGGGAAGCTTTCAATCAAATGTACTAGTCTTTTGTACACAAAAAATTCCAATGAGTTACAAAAGTATTTGTACTTAAAGTATGTCTTTGAGTTTACAATGTCAGTCTGACTCGGACTCTGATAAGTTGGAGTGCAAGGTGATGTTATCGTGTAGAATAAAAATACTTTTGTTCATTAAACAGTTTGCATGTTGTATTTGTTTAACCTCTTATAACAGTGTTTCCCAAACTGTGGATCACTGTCTGCGCTGAGTTAATAATATTTTCTTTGGGGTCCTCCAGGTGCACATATCACCTTTCTTATGAACTATGACAAGAAACAAGAAGAAATTTTCATCTTTGTAGAGATATTGTGGGGGAGGGGGTAGCAATGACCAAAGCCTGGATGCAGGGGTTGTCTGGCTGAGAAACAATTATATAAAACCATGTTGAATAGCACTGTAAAAAAATCATGCCATGCAAATAGGGTTAAAGTGAATTACTTTATAATACAAGTCAGCAAGGTGTTTAATGATAGGTCAAGTGAATTTATTGCTATTAGCACTAAGTATTCAGATTTGTTAGAAATTAGTGGAAAATTTATTACTAAGAGTATCTTACAGTGACATTGCACTAGTGCTATCTTCAATAAATGTCAGAGGAATAGGTGTAATATTTGCAGTAACTGGAAGCTTTAAATGTTTTTTTAACCTTTTTCAACATTTAAGGTTGAATGTGTGGTACTGTGTATTTCATTTACTTCACAGCTTTATACATTTAACTTTCTTGTTTTGTGCATTTTATAAAGACTGATCATTTAGTAGAATAAAAATAATTAAAGTGCAAAATTAAAAGAAAAAGCTATATTTAAGTAAGTAGCATAAAAACAAACTTTCACCAAATAACTTGATTGGTCTAGATGATTATACATGGTCAGCAGCAAGGATAGTAGAAAAATAATCAAAGCTTCATCTACAAAGCATTTTTGCTCTCTAACTGACCAACCCAAAGACTGGATTATAAGAATCCAGAAGTATTTCTGCCCATAGTTAGTCAGAAAGCAGTTCTCTGTGCATAAGGTAAAGTGGTATATAATACACATATCCAATGAAACAGTAAGCAAGTTCCTTGACTAAATCTATTATATAAACTAATGCCTCAAGCTGAATTAATCATGTAAGCTCAAGATTTTGCAAGTTTCAGATGAGGAATTTAGAAATTCCAAAACATACTTACCTCTGTTGACACTTGTTGCTATTACTCAACAGCTAGGGTTTCTTCTTTGCTCATATAAGCATTGGTCTGATTTTTTTTTCTCACTTGCTTCAGCCTTTTATACCCCACTCAATTGCCTTTAGCGATATTTATCTTGTGATGCTTTCCATTTATGTCAATGCGCCATCTATCGTGGTACTATATGTAAGCACGTCATTCAGATAATTTTATCAATTTTTCTCAACAAAGCATCACTAATGGGTTTCCCAGTATTACGATCATTTGGAGATATTTTGAATGTTATCATGTTATATAATTGATTTTCATAGTAATAATAATTAAAAAAAATATTACTTTTCTTCTTCCGACTGGCAAGCAGATTACGGTATGAATTCCCATATTATTATTTCCGGCATTGTGGCAAATCAATTTACTCCTCTCCCACCTCTGATATCTAGCGTCACACAACAATCGAGAGGGGTCACTCTTGGTTTAGACTGTCAGGGATCTTATTCTTAATGAGTTGGAGACATATATTTGGATCTATGGTGGTCCTCCAGGGGCCTCTGAGGCTGCAATTCAGGGTGATCCTTGACATTTTGGAGAAACATTAGATTCGCTTTTCCCTTTGTCTTCTTTTAGTCTGTTGGATTTTCAGCCCCCCTGTGGGATAGTGGTAAGTTTGCGGTCTTGCAGCATTGGGGTCCGAGGTTCAATTACCAAGGGTGAATGTGGCAAATGGTCCAAAATTGCTTTTCTCTAACAAAACAACTTCTTTTACCTCACAAGATGCTGTTCCAATCAATGGTAATCAACACATCTTTCAATGACCTTTAAAAAACAAAAAGGAGACCACTTTGGGATAAGCTGTCTTTGATTTGTTTTTTTTTCTGATGGTTCTTCAAGTGTGTGATGTTTTGGGTTTTTTCCTGGTTGCTTTTGTATCTCCAACTTACTTGATAGCTGAAAGGTTTGAGAGTGAAACTTTAATTTTTTTTTTCTCCATACACAGATATTGTGGTTCATGCTGGAAGGTTTACTTCTTAGTTGCGTGAAGGAACAGTTATGCCTTATCTGACATGTTGGAACTTTGTGATTTAGCCTACCATCACCAGGTGGAGGCATTTTTCCAACTCTCGAATGATACATCTGCTCCTTGAAGTTTGGGGTTCTAAGGCAAAGTTTGTAATTCACCTATATGGGACAAAGTAAGTCTATGGATTTACAACTCAAATTCATCATTTTGTTTCCTTCCACTTCACTTTGTTGGAAGGCTCTCAGGATCACCAGTTTCATTGATGACGAGCAGGATCCATTGTTAGCATGCACATTGGTTCAATTTTTGGCTACTACATTCCTCTTGGTAGTGTTGTTGTTGTTGGAGTGTCGAATTTCATCCTCTCATAGTTCAGCCCATATTCTTGAGTCCCCAACCCCTGACACCAGCTCCTCAGTACACTGGTACTCAGAATAGATTCTGTCCATATCCAAGATTTCCACTACTTCTTCAGATTGCCAGCAGCATTGGTGTGGAGACTTGGTTCCAAGAGTTTCGGGATGTGTGGTAACCTTAACAATGGATCCAGGAGCTCTGCAGGCCCTTGTGTCACAGTTGGTTGTTCAGTTTACATCTTCCCCACTATTATCCACCCAAACTGTAGGGTTTCCATCTCCTGCAGTTCATTGGGATTTGGAACTTTGTTCTAGTTTTCTGAGTTTAGTTGGTCTGGGGCTAGTTCTTCAGAGTCCGTTGTTTGTCCTATGCCGACAGGAGATTGGTGTCCAGTCATCGATATTCCTTGTCTCTATCAATGCGTATATTCTCCAAGGTTCACAAGTTAATCATTCCTCAATTTGTGTTGACTTTTTCACTGAGATTGTAGATGTCCAACGTGGTTGTAGTTGGCTCCTATTTGCACTTTGCCTTAGCAGTGGAGTCCCACCACTATTGGTGTTTGTGGTGCACAATGGTCAGGTACTGCAGTTCTGAATATTTTCCTTCAGATTTGCGTAGGCTTCACATGGGTACAACAATATTGTAACATTTTTTTTTTCTCGACCCCTTCATTCTACCGTACTGTGCACACATCATTTCATGGATGACTGGTAACTGCTGGCACCATCTCATCAATTGTTAGACCATTGCATCCTGATTCTACTTTCAGATACAATCCAAGCAGGCTTCCCTTTCAGGACTGTGACATCTATTTTTGCTCCAATTCAATATGTCATCAGTCTGAGTATTTTCTTTTATTTTTTTTTTCATTTCATCTCTCAATAGGCTTAGCTGTCTCCCATCCTGCTCAACAATACAGAATAAGACACCACATTCGTACTCACCTCTCCTTTTTCCATTGCACGGATGGTTTTTTCTCTTGTGGGAATGTGGGCATCACTCACATCCTTCATACCTTTGGGATGAGAACACACATGATCCTTTTATTGGTCTTTCAGTGACCAAAGATCATGCACATCTATTTACTGGTTTCCCCAGTTTCCTTAGTCTGGATCATTCTTCAATCTTGAGAGTTTGTTAAGTTGGGACACTACTATGATTTGTATTCCTCTTCTGCCACTTCATTCAGAGTTCCATTCTCTTCACAAATGCCTTGCTTCAGGGATGGGGTGCATATACCAGCAGTCAGGAATTCCAGAGTCTATGCACAGATGACAAGGATTCCCTACACAGTGTTTTCATTCTTCTTGCTATTCAACAGGCAAGTCCTCATGGTCTGAGCTTCTTAAGGGGTAAATCATCAGGCTTCACTCTGACTATTCGGTGGTGGTATCTTATGTTTCTCATCAAGGAGGTATATTGTCTAGGGTTCCTTATTTTCGAATTTTGAACCTCCTTTCTCGGGACTAGTATTATCTTGCCATGTTCCACGGGTGATGCCTGTGGTAGCAGATCCATTGTCTCAATCCACACAGATTCTCCTGACAGAATAGATGTTGCATCGCAAGGTTCAGTTGGATTGGCTTTCATTTTGCAACTCTAGTTGGTGGGTTGGCCTCTCATTGGATCACCCAACTCCTGGTAATTAGGTCTCTAGTACCTTAACTTTGGGCTTTGGCAATAGATGCTTTCTGTCTGGACAGGACGGGATTACCACTCTCAACCTTCATGTGTTACCCAGGATACGAAATATAATTTGTTCCAATCCATTATCAGATCCTGTTGATAGCACCAGATTTGCTGCTACACCTTGGTTTCTGCTTCTGCAGTCCCTTCCAGTGTGTCCAACTCTTCCACTTCTTTTTAGGCTCTTGCTGTGGAGGCAGCCATTATCTGATATGGTACACCCAGCTATCCAGTAGCTTAAGCTTCTGCCATAGACTTTATGCTGTTTTTCACATGACATTGGGGTTTAATTTCTAAGGTTGACCTGTATCTATATCAGTTTCTGCTTTGTCCAAAAGGAACTTTTATTAACAGTAATGACATGTATATTGACAATGTTCTACTGAGAGGAGGTTGAACCCTTTTCAGTCAGTGGTGTTAACCATAACTTATTTTTTGACTTGGCTCTTTGAGAGAGGTTTTTGCATCTTCCACAAATGCCATGATTTATGGCAGACTTATCGACTACTGTTGAATTATTGCAACTACATATTTTTTGTGTCCCCAGAACTCTCCAGATTCCTCGCATTGTTTTGGGTAATTGGTCCCAAATGATCATTCCAGTTACCTATCAGGTAGAGTAAGGTTACATGTTCTTTCTCTACACCTGACTCTTATATGCCATCTATCCCCTTTATCTGCAGGTTTATTTTCGTGTCTACTGACCTATGGATATCACCGATCAGAGTGATTTGCATTGTATGTCTACAGACCACTTTCTCATTCTCTCTACATCCTCAGACCAGTTCTTCTTACCCATCACTCTGTCAGAAGGGAAAGGGGTTCAATCCTTTTCTGTTATTCATCTGCTCACTCTTTATGTGTCCCATAAAATTTCAATCTTGGTCATGTTCAGTGAAGGTCTTGAAGGTTTTGTTGCCTGCTCTTATACCTTTAGAGATACTAGACAACACTTTTTATTCTGGGCTCTCTTTGAAGGTGAGGTATCTTCTATGAGTCACATCTAATCAGTTTTCTCTTTTCTATGTCCTTAGAAGTCTGGTCAATTTGCCTGCTGGAGGTCATTGTGCAGGCTGGTATGTGGAACTCCCCCAATACCTTTATTTCACATTATTTGCCTGATCTGGAAGTCTCTTCATCTGAGGGTTTTATGTACCCCCTTGTAGCTATCTTAATTATTTCTGCTAGATTATCCAGAGGGGGGAGTATTTTTCTTTCTACCTTTCAGGGTCCCTTACCTCATTTTCACAGGACCCCACTCTGTGGCGAGTGTTGCCTGGACAGGTGTGCTTTTATCAATTTTTGTAAAGTTCATATACATTTTCCAGATCTGAATTGCATTTGCCGAATGCCAACTATTATTTCAGATTCTGAGTATCTTAACGAACAGTAATAACACAGAAGTAGTACTTCTACATCAAGTATTTTTTTCAGTTATATTTTACTTATATGTCACTTTTTGATATTATCATAAACATATGAAAATAAGAGATACATAAATGTCATATAAGATGTTACAATTTACTTAACATCAGATATTGTGTTAGTGAAGTGCACTTGAAGCATAACAAATGGTTGTGCGAGGTATTACTTCATAGTTCAATATAGAGGTTTGTATCTATTTGAAATACATTTTAAGGTAAGGAAGATGTTAATGTTGGTAGAATTGCTGAGTTGCATTTTCAAAAATAATAATATGTAAATTATATATAAAATATTTTTATCTTACTTTCCACAGTGAAGTTCACCATACAATGAGTGTTCCACTAGATAAAGTCTTGGAATCAGTTCAAAAGAATAAAGTTGCATTGAAAGGCATTTTACAGTCACCTTTTAGTAGTCACTCTGGAGAACTGCAGACTCTCAATATGAAGATCAGGTAGGTTCTGAACATATACCTGTTTCTTAATCAGTATTAGACATGCTTATTTTTGAATACTTTGCTCTATGTAGCAAGCATATACAGGTACAAAAAACCAAAATTTACATGTTTGTTATTGAAGTAAATGTTAACCCTATTGCCATGGGCATCCTTTACTATACGTGTCAAGAGGTTTCAGTGACTTGCATTCAAAATTTTATTAATCTACTTTTTGTTTTTGTTATACCAATTAGAATAGCATAAAATCTTAGCTAATAATCTATATTTTAATTGTATAAAAGTTTTAAGTTCTTAATTTTATAAGGCACTATTTAAAAAAAATACTGAATTTCCCCTAGTATGACACATTTTCTCTAGGCATCTCCTCTTCTCTATTTTATCCACTGCCCCTCCAATAAGTACAAAAATCAATGTATATTACTCACTATAAAATTGTCATTGCTCAGACAAACCATAATTTTTATAGCCTTCAGTTTTGTTTGGTTACATAGCTATCAAATAGAAGGTCAGACACCTCTTGCCACACCCACTTGTCACATCCTCTACTACAGGATTTGTTAATAGTTCTCTCTTATGTTTAATTTTATATTATCTATAACCAATAGAAAGCCAAGGTTTTCATCTATCAAATGACTTATTATATAACACTGTTTTCTGAATGGGAAAGATATTAACTAGCTTTGATGATCTTGTAACGGTTCGTGTTGCATAGTTAGAAAGCCAGAAAAATTGTGATAGTTAAGGGAAATTGTCAATGTTTTATTGTTATTATTCTATGATCTTTAATGCATTATTTAATTTAAACAAATTATTTGTTCATTATTACTGTTAGTATAAAAAAGAAAAGTAGTGTCATCAACAATGAACAATAAGAAAAAAACAGTTTTGATAAGTACCTTGTTTTTTGTTTTTCATGTTTATTCTTTATTTATATTTATAAAAGTAACTCAAATGTAAAAATATGGATCTCTTTAAGTTAATTATGGTTAGATTAGGTAAAATAAATAATAATATAATAAAAATGTTTCACAAGGCATGCACATGAGCAGCTCATGATAACCTATTTCGATAGCATACGTGAACTCCACATTCCCAAGTGAGGGCAATAAAACAATGAAATTTAATTATATATAGATGTATACTGTTTAAAGCTACCTAGGATAAACAAATGTAGCCCACACTCAACCTTTCTAACCCATCAGAATCTCAAACAGTAACTGATCTTACCAGCCTTGTTTTAACTCTGAACAACTTTGAATTTAATGACAAACATTACCTTCAGGTTAACAGTACTGCAATGGGTACCAAAATGGCTTCCAATTATGCCAACATTTTTATGGGTCATATTGAAAGCCAGATTTTACATCTAAGCCCTGTAAAACCTCGTACATGGAAATTTTACATAGATGACATATTTTTCATTTGGGCAACCAGTCTTAAATCACTTAAAGAATTTATCTCGCATGCAAACTCCTTTCACAAAACAATCAAGTTTATCTTTGATTACTTGCCTACCCGAATTAACTTTCTTAGCGTCACTGTCTTTATAAACGACAGAATTTTACACACCGACTTCTACAAAAAAAACCTACAGACAGACCACAAAAACTTCGCTATGAAAGCTATCACCCCGCTTACACTGAATGTAACATTACCTGCAGTTAAGCTCTTAGAATAAAACAATTTGCTCAGATGAAAGAGACTACAGAAAACACACCAAGGATCTAAAACAGACCATGTTAAAAAGAGGATATATGGATACTAAAATTGACAGTCAGATCGAAAAGGCTAACAAAACTCAGTGGAAAAACATCCTAAAACAGAGCAATACTAGAGTTTCAAATAGAATTCCTTATATTATTACCTATCACTTTAATCTCAGAAACGTTTCACAAGTTCTGAAAAAACATTTTCATCTCCTACAACTTAACAATCGCCTTAAACAGATATTTCCTGAAGTTCCCATTGTCTCCTTTCAAAAAAAGCAAAACTCTAAAAGATATCCTTGTTCACACAAAAGTGAATTACATCCCACCAAAAAATGGTTGTTACCCATGCTATAAGGCTCATTGTCAAACCTGCAAGTTCATAAAAACTACTGACTCATTTTCTGAGAAGCACAACAAAAGAAACTTTAAAATTTCAAAAGAAATCATTTGTGGAACACACATCACCAAAAAATGCAATCACCAATATGTAGGACACACACAAAACATTTCAACAACCATAAATCTTCTATTAACACTGAAAAAGATCTCCCTGTTGTTCAACACTTTAACCAATCCGGTCATTCCATTAACAGTTACTCTCATTGGCATTGAAACAGGATTCCAAACTAAAGCTGATTGAGAGATATAAGAAACTTATTGGATCGCTAATCTAAACACTGTTTAACCTTCTGAAATCAGTGATCTCCGATCTTTGGTCTCTGTTAGAAAAATAATTTTTATTCTTTGCTTATTTCTTTCATGTAATGTGAACTCTAATTTTTCTAAAACTTACTATGTATTTAAGGTAATTTTACATACCTGTTAGTATAAATCAATTAGCTTTACATCTCTCTTTCAACCAGTCTCCAGTTGTCACCTTTATTTCATTTAAACGCATAAGTATAGTTTTATTTATTTCTTTTTTACCATTTTCGTTGCCGGCCACATTGTACCAGAAATGGAACACACAACAATACATGGAAAAATATACTGAACATTTCCTGGAAGACCAGATGACTTTCATGACATCACTCAATTCCCTTTATATATATCACTCATTCAATTATACCACCATTTCCAGTTTGCCCCTGAAAAGGAAAATCTTCCTTTCTAAGTACTGGGTTATAAAATTTTTATCATTTTGTCACTAAAACTATGATTGTATACATGTGAAAGACTTATAATGTTTAATGAAAGACTGCCAAATTTTGTGAAAATATACATACTGTATTAAAAGTTAGTAGTATCAAATCTATAAAGACTTTATACAAGTACAAAGAGATAATGTGGTCTGTCAAATCGACCGAGCCCATGTTGAGAGAGTTAATACAAGCACAAAATAAGTATAATACAATAGCAGTAGCATAAGTTTATATGTCTTCCTTCTTTCAGCCCTAGCAGTATTATAATGTGATGGTCAATCCTACTGTTCGTTGGTTAAAGACTAGCCAGATGGCAGTGGGTTCTGCCAACCTGTTGTCTTCCTGCTGTTTGGCAGCTCAAAATTATGGGCAGCAGCAGACAGCTGCAGTAGCTTTGACATAAACAAGACAAAGAAACTTGAAGGCATTCTGATATAGAGTTTTTTAAGAGAGATGTTCTTTATTTATTTTGCAAATATAAGAATAATTTATACATTTAGTAAGTTTAAAGTTGATTATAGATTTTATTAAATGTGTATTAGAGTTTTAGGCTTAGAAATTTAATCTTAGAACTTATTAGAAATTATCTTTGTGGTGGTTTAGTGTTTTGTTTTATACTTGGTAACTAACAGAATTTACACTTTAGAGGCTTCATTAATGGCAAAAGACAAGTATAAGAAAATGGGAACAAGGTGCATATCATTTTAGTTTTTGCTTATTTTAAGTTTCATTTAACTGTTATTGTTAATGAATCAACTATAACTGGGTGATCAATTCACTTAATATAATTCAATTGCTTATGAGCATCAATTAGTGTCATGTAAAAAATACATCAATTGAAATTATGATTAAAGCAGTTAAAGTCACAATAAATAATCAACTAATTGAAATTGCTGTTTTTGGTTATTACTGTTTTTGATTATTCCAACTATCCAAGTAATCAAAATATTGCCTATATGAATTATCAATATAATTCGAGGTTGTTCAGTTAAATTGATTAGTATCATGACTTATGAAAATAAGCAACTAGTTATCATTAGTGTTTTTGATTATCTCTGTTTTTTATTATTCCAGCTTATTCAGGTCTCATGAGAATAATCAATTAGGTGAATGTAATCAAATAACTTTTTCTTTATGATCAGGTCTGAGTGTACATGTCATGATCTTTTACAGAGTTACATTCAGAATCTAATTTAACATCTTTTTAGTCAATGTCTTTAATAAACTTGTCATAAAAATGTAGCTTATGATATAAATTTTTAGATTATCTAAGTTTTAACTTCTTAATTTCAAAAAGAATTATATAAAAATTCCCAGTCTTCATTTTTCTGTGCCATGTGACATGCCTAAGTATCATTTTCTCCATTTCAGAATTTTCTAACATCTATAATTTTGAACCAATTAGAATCACAAACTAGATATATAGTTGGAAGTAAGAATCTAAAATATGAAAAAAGTATTCTTGATTTGCTGAGATATCAATAAATTTATCAAATCCACCAGAGATGTTTTTTCTCTCTCTGACTTTCAAGATTGTTTGCTAATGAAATTAACATGGCTAATGGATTTGTTTATCACCAATAGAAACAACAGATTCTTTTCATCATAAATCTTAAATTTCTGAATTCAGTTTTGGTGCTGTAAGTTGAGGAGGTTTATTTAGTTTGTGTTGATCAGATATTGTGCTCCAAATAGTAAAGGAATTTTTTAACACACAGCTTACTTAGAAAGCCAGATAAATTATAGTAGTTTTGCGACATTCTGCTATTGTGACCAATATATTAGGTCATCAAGAAATTAATGTCGTGTTTTGAAACACTTTTATTAACCACCCCCCAAAACATGTACATCACGTATAATTGTTAAACGAACTGCCTAAACGTCATGTTAGTGTAGCCTATATAATTTGTAAAGTTTAGTATACTCTAATCCCATATAGTGATGGTACACGATTAGACATGCATTCGGCATATAATGCTGTTTGAATACAAGAATACAATGCTAGAGGCAAAGGGGGACCCTTTTGGTAAAGAATATTGATATTGTAAAGAGAGTCAAGGGGAGATCCTTTAGAACAAAATATTAATATTTTAAAGAAGATTCATAAAAGATTAATACAGATAAAATATAGATAAATAAATGTAGA